TGGATTCGGAAGCTCACACGGCTAAGTAGGAGGGAAGCCGTCGGGAGAAGTCCGACCAGCACCGTATACGTATAGTTCCCCCTGCCACTGCTTTGCAGTTTTAGCTGACGGCCAGTCAGTCAGTCAATGAACTTTATTTACAAATTGTCCTGAGGAGCCGATTCCCCTCAAGGGGGAGGGTCGGCTGCGGGCCGCACCCACGTGGGGACAGGAAGAGCGAGCCCCTCCGCCAAATTGCGGGCCCTCTGGACAGCCCGGATTTGGACCTCTCGGTCCGAGCTGGTAATTGCCGTCCTCCAGGCAGCTTCTGTGCTGAGAGGCTCGCCATCGCGCAGCGCCGCGCATTGCCAGAGCATGTGGGGTAACGTGCAACGTCTCTCTTCGCAATGAGGGCATTGCGGCTTTATGCTGTCGATAAACTTGCAGTACACTAAAGGCGACGGGTAAGTACCCGTTTGCAGCATTCTTAAAGTGACTGACTGAGCCCTAGAGAGTTGCGGGTGCGGGAGCGGAAAGCTACGCCTGGCCAATTGATAATTTTCGCAAATTTCGTTAAAGGTGAGGAGCGAATCAAGCTGCCGGATGCCATCCCCAAAATTAGATGCCGATTGCCCGTCACGGTGGGACAGTTCGCGTGCTCGGGCATGGGCAAGCTCATTCGCATTGGGGATAACAGGGTGGACATCCTTGCCCATGTGGGCAGGAAACCAGGTGATGTGGCCGTCGATTTCCGTGCAATGTGGTCTTTTGGTAAGAAGATGGGCCGCCTGCTCACAGACTGACCCGGTCATGAACGCTCGTGCAGCAGCTCGAGAATCAGTGAAAATGCGCGTGCGCAAGGGAATCGCCACGGCCATTGCTATAGCAGCCTGCTCTGCCCTAGCCGGCGTGGTATCTCGAAGAGATGCTGCTGTGAGGATTTTACCGCGAAGGTCAGTGACCACAGCCACGAAATTGGATGTGCCGGGATACTGTGCTGCGTCAACGAACGCCACAAGTTCAGGGGTGGCAGCGGTGGAACTGAGGAGCGACCTAGCTCTAGCGGCCCGGCGGCCGACATTGTAGAGAGGGTGAACATTTCTAGGAATTTGTGAGACCGTAATCTGCGCCCTCAATTTGGGTGGAAGCTGTATCTTTTTGTCTGCTACCATAGTTGGTTCGCAGCCCAGAAACTCCAGGATGCGTCTCCCAGCTTTGGAAGAGGACAGTCGTGCAGCTTGTGCTGTTTGTTGCGCTTCTGCAATCTCACTAAATGTATTATGCATACCAAGAGCCTTGAGCTTTTCCTCATTTGTGTTGTTTGGAAGGCCCAAGACCCTCTTAATGCACTTTCGAATAATCGCATCCAGTTTCCCTTGTTCTTTTCTTTCCCACCTATGCGCTGCGGCAATGTAATTAATGTGACTCATAAGAAAGGCATGGAAAAGCCTCATGAGGTTGGCCTCACAAAGCCCTCCACGCCTGCTAGACACCCGAAGTATAAGCTTGACCATGCTCTCCGCCTTTGCCGCAATACGAGCCAGAGTATGAGAGTTACTTCCGTGCTCCTCCAGGAACATGCCTAATATCCGAATTTTATCGACACGGGGGATGGCCTGCCCTGACCGTGTGTGAATTTCGATCCTGATCTCTTCCGGCGGAAATGGAATAGTGGTGAACTTGCGTTTCTCCGGCTGTGTGTACAGGAGGAGCTCCGACTTGGCGGTCGACAAGTGCAGCCCCGTGCTATCCAAAAACTCCTCCGTGCACCTGAGGGCCTGCTGGAGGGACTCCTCAACGTCTCCGTCCCTACCCCAGTGCACCATATAGTAATATCGTCCACATACAGCGCATGCCTGATGCGGTCGATACGAGAGAGTTCGAGCGAGGGTTTCCTCATCGCGATATTAAAAATTAGCGGCGAAATGACCGATCCTCGAGGAGTTCCCCTAGGTCCAAGGTGAAATTCCTTGGAGCAGAGGTCCCCGAGCCGAATGGTGGCAACGCGATCCCTGAGAAAAGAGCGGACGAACCCGTAAAAGCGGGCCCCCAATCCCAACTCAGAGATCGAATCCAGTATGTGAGGATGTGAGATATTATCGAAAGCTTTCTCCAGATCGAGTGCAAGAATCCCTTGGACATCTCTGGTGTCTATGTCGAGAATTTGATGTTTAATCATTTTCATAACGTCCTGCGTAGAGAGCGCGGGACGAAAGCCAATGAGATTGAAAGGGAAGAGCTCGTTTTGTTCAAAGTGATGGGAGATTCGGTTAAGGATTGCATGTTCCGCGACCTCACCCACGCAAGACGTGAGCGAGATCGGTCGGAGCGTGCCGAGCCCGAGAGGTTTACCAGGCTTGGGAATGAGGACGACAGAGGCCGTTCGCCACTCCTTCGGCACCTGCCCCGACTCCCAAACCTGGTTGACCTCGTCAGTTAGTAGCTCAATGGATCTATCGTCCAGATTTTTAAGTAGCCTGTTAGTGATACCATCCGGCCCAGGAGCCGATTTTCCATTGAGATCAAAAATGACCGCCCTGATCTCTGCCGTGTTGAAGGGGGAGTCCAGCTCCGCATCCTCCAGACCAGAGAAATCCGGGTAGTCTGCATCCGTGGTAGCCCCCAGGGGGAGGTACCTATCCGCCAGCTGTTGTAAGATTTGATCATTGGAGAGCCCAGCAGACCTCTCCTTGTGAATGAGCCGATCAACAGTGTGTTTCTGATTAGCTTTAGTTTGCTTATCTCCCAGGAGGTGCTTGAGAATGTTCCATTTCGCCCCTGACCGCATCTGCCCATCGACAGCGTTACAGACCTCATCCCATTGTTGTCTGGCCAGGGTTTGGCTGTACGATTCAATCTCCTGTTTGAGCAGAGCAATTTTCTTTCTGAGCCGCCTGTTGAGTCGCTGCGTACGCCATCTGTTAAGTAAGGAGTTTTTGGCTTCAAGGAGCCTCGCTAGGCGGCTGTCCATGCGTTACGTTTTAAGATCCGTCTCCACCACCTTAGTGGCAGCTTTAACATCTGCCTTAAGACACTCAAGTAGCTGGCCAAGGTCATCGTACTCTTTTTCATCGCTTTGTCTGAGTTCCCGAAAGGCATCCCAATCAACAATTTTGAAAACCCGCGGCGGCGGTGCTTTAACATCGAGGGAGATAGACGCGATGAAATGGTCGCTTCCCAAGTTCTCATGCAAGTTCTGCCAGAAAGGGCACTCGACGTTCCTGACAAAAGCCAGGTGCGGCGTGGTGTCCCTTGCTACAGAATTGCCGAGACGTGTGGGAAAGTTGTGATCAGTAACTAGTAACATATTGAGATTGGTAGTATGCTGCAGAAGCGCCCGCCCCTTAGCCGTATTATTGATATAGCCCCATGTCTGATGTTGCGCATTGAAGTCGCCAGCAACTGTCAACGGAGCCGAGCCCGCGATTTTGGAGGCTTTGCAGAGAAGCGCATTAAAAGTCTCCCGAGTATCAGATGGTGAGCTATAAACGTTGAGAATGAATAGGTGCTCCTTAAGCCGAGAGTTTGGGATTAACTCAATGAGTATGTGTTCCACCTTTAGGTCTGGACGTACATCGCGAACCTCAAAGAAGAACTCTTTGGATATGAGGGTGGCGACCCCGGGTTTTCCTTCCCCCCAGCAGGCCACGGAGCGATAACCCCGGAGGGCCACCTCTCCTTTAAGGGTCTCCTGGAGGAGTATTACGGCTGGCTTATTCTCCTGTGAGCTGACGAACTGCTGCAAGACTGCCTTCTTCCTGTGGAAGCTCGCGCAATACCATTGCCAAATGACAAATGTTTTATTTAGCTTCGCCATGATTGCTACTTAGGTTTTGCTCCACCACCACCACCCTTGCAGAAAGGGACTGGATGACAGAGCTGACACCAGCGATGGCCTCCTTAATTTCATGGACCACCCCCATAATTTCCTGTTTAAAGTCACTGAACTCCTTCTCGATATCTACCGGAGGGTCAGCGGCTTTTCGCTTACCGCCTCTAGGTTGTGCCTCGGCCTGCTGCACTTTCACCGCCCCTTCCGGCGTGCGTTCGCGCTGCCTAAGCTCCTCAACTAATGCTTTAATCTCCTGAAGCTCACTCCTCAGAGTTGCATTCTCACGCTCTAGCTGCTGTATTCTAGCCGTAGCTTGCTCTGGCAACTGGCGCTGCACGATAGTGCGAGACTCACGTTTTGGGCCCACTCGTTCAGCCCAGGTAGGTTCCTGCTGAATCCGGGCACAGGAGGCAGACCTATCCCTCGAGCGAGAGCGGTGACCCGCACCCCGCCCAGGGTTATCAAGGCCACCCCCCTGGTTGAACCCAAGCCCGGGAGCTTGCTGTGGCACGAACTCCGCGCGCTGCTTGTTTGCTTTTCTCCGTCGTCGCCTTCTACGCCGAACGATGTAGGGAACCTGGTACCTGCTTTGGCAGGCCCGCTCCGCCGTCGGATGCGCTCCTCCACAGATGGAACACTTCGGCTGGCACGTATGATTTTCAGGGGGCGATGAGACCCCACAGTCCGGGCAGGTGATGACTGTAGGAGTGGGACAAACGTCCGAGCGATGTCCCAGCTTTCCGCAGGTTCGACAGGCGTCGATTTCTCGTCGGTAGAGCGTGCACCGGATCAGGTTCATCCCACACATGACGTAGTTTGGAACTTTCATACCGTCAAACAGGACGATCACCGTGGGCGTTTTCTTGATGCGCCGTACTCCAAGAACCTTCGGATTTCTTGCGTGCACGAAGAGCTCACCAAGCCGGTCATCAGAGAGCTCAGGGTCGATTCCGCGAACAACTCCTCTGCACGTATCCCCGGGTGGCGTCACGTAAGTAGAGACTTCATGGAGCGTTTCTCCCACTCGAATTTGCTTCACTTTAGCGTAGGCTTCTGCGTTCCTAGCGTGTGGCGTGCTGATCACAAAAATGTTCTGCATTTCATTGGCACAAACAATATCTTCCTCAGCCTGCGGCGGGCCGAGACAAGCAGCCATCACCAAAGCTTGGGTAACCTTGATTCCACTGACCTTGCGCACATCCATGCCTCCCTTGGGACGTACGACAACCCGGTAGTGATCTTTAGGCAATCGCGGCAGGCGCGACGCGGCGATGAGCTTGTTTATCGGCCCCTTCGGGTGCGCTGGACGGGCGGCACGATGACCGGCACTGGGGCCAGGGCTGTCGCCGGGCGTAAAATCCTGACGCTGCTTCTTCCGAGAGTGGGCAACAATCCATCCGGAGGCTTCATCCTCCTGCCTGGAGATTTCTTCGCCGAAGACCATCTCCTCGAGCGGCATCCTCGAAGCGTCTCGCTCGGCAGGCCGAGCTGAGCGCCAGCGTGGCACCGGGTGAAACACCCAAATAAAAGTTCGAAAGCTTGACCTACCAGCAAAAGTCGGGTATCCACTCGATCCTTGAAAGAAACTGGATCAGATGAGTCGAAAAACCGAGGTCGATTGGCAAATTTGCGGTCAAAAACATTTAAAAAAGCAGGAGCCGATGCGAGCGCGTCCGGCTCGCGTCTAGCAAGCGGCGTTCCCCTTAGCTGACGGCGCACGTATCACGGAGTTTTTCTGCAGCCCCAACATGCCTTGATTATTTCGAACGGGCCTTTCACAAAGGAAGTCACCACCGACCGGCAGCGGTATTAGGTCAGGCTGGTGCTCAGTAAACATCTGCTCAGAGCATGTGCGAGTCTCCGTGGGGCTCCATGACCCAATCGAAAACTCGCAGGGTTCTTTGAACTGCATTCACCTTATAAGGTGGCTCGACGTCGAAAGTCATTTCCTTCTCAATGTATAAAGGAGCAGACCAAACGAGCGCCGATTCATGTACCAATTTCAAGCGCCGTCTTCGGAGGCTGCGCATCATATATCGTCGTTTAGGGACGTAAAACCCCAGTTGTAATTAATGTGATAGTGTTAAAGAGCTCGTTTAGCCGGAATCCCGTTGTCGGTGGGAGTGAGCGAGAAATCACCTTTGCGTGACTGAAAAATTGAGAAAGATGCAAATAAAATAAATGATAATATTCTGGATCTGAGTGGGGTTCGAGCCCGGGTCGGTAACTGAAGCAATGCTGCAGTGACCGAGCTTGTCGCGGTCTTGTAGAGCAAGACGAACCCACCAACGCTGCTGGCGTTGACTGTTTCAAATGCGAAGGATTTCTTTATCTATCTATCTATCTATCTATCTATCTATCTATCTATCTATCTATCTATCTATCTATCTATCTATCTATCTATCTATCTATCTATCTATCTATCTATCTATCTATCTATCTGTCTGTCTGTCTGTCTGTCTGTCTGTCTGTCTGTCTGTCTGTCTGTCTGTCTGTCTGTCTGTCTGTCCACCTACGACTTTTAGCTCTCCTGGCCGTTTCAATAATGCTATCGATACCAAACATGGTATGGCATAACATGACGGTGTGAAGAACATGTTTGACTGGTCATAACATAAAAATCATGATATATGTCATGAATGTCATTATACATTATTGCATGGTCCTGCACCTCTTGCGGTATATTTCATTCACATGGCATGTTGCAAAACTGGTATGGTACAGCATGACTACATGGAGAACACAAGCGACAGACCCTAGCATGAAAATCATGAGATGCGCGTCATGTAACAACATGACTACATGCAACGCTCATTATGCGCTCGCGGCTGTTTCACTAGCTTCACATATACCGAATTCGGTATTACGTAACGCGAATGGACGACATAGGTAAATGACAAATCTAAACATAATAATCATCACATGCGGGTCATGTAACAGCATGACTACATGCCACACTGATGATGTGCTCGTGACCGTTTCGCTATTTTCACATATGCCAAATTTGGTATTACGTGACGCCAATAAATGACGAAGTTATGTGACTGGTGCAAACATGATAATCATGAGATGCGTGTCATGTGAGAGCATGACTACATGCCACAGTCAAGGCGCCAATACATTTCGACGTGACGCGGTGCGCGTGATCACCGGCGTTCATTTCGTCGCGTCACGCCGGCGTTGCCACGCCAGGCACCGGTCTGGCCATATACACGCAGGCGCGCACCGGGCTGCATTGCTTTGACGCATGCGCGTTTCAGCGCATCTGGCGTCCCTCCGTCACGAAAAGAGGGAGACGCAGTGTTGTCTGGGTAACGCATCGGCGCGAAATGCAGCACGTCGAATTTCGCACCGGTTGCCGTCGGGCCGCGCCGATGGACGCTGGCCGTGCCTGGCATCAGGCTATATTATGCTCTGGTTTTGCTAACGTACAACGTCGCTGTATACCTAGCCTGCGCGCGCGTCAACGCTGCATTGGTGTATATTGGGCCCTTTATGATGCACTCGCGGCAGTTTTGCTAGCTCCACATATACCGAATTTGGTGATACGTGAAGTCATTGGATGACAAAATATATGACTGGTGCAAACATGATAATCCTGACACGCGCGTCATGTAAGAACATGACAACATACCACGTTCATAGCGTGCTCGCGGCTGTTTCGTTAGCTCCACATACTAAATTTGGTATCACGTGACGTTAATAGAAGAGGAAGGTAAACGACGCATCCTAACATGATAATCATGACACGGAATTCATGCACAGTATCATTTACCTCAACTTCGTAACATCGTGCTGATTTTAAAGTAACAATATGAACATTTCTCAATCGTGCTTCGTAAAATCATCGATTCCCACTGTACGTGGGATCTGCCAATTTTTTTATCTGATCTTGGTGCATTGGAAGACAGCGGCTTGCCAGCAAAGTAAGCAGCACTGCTTCTTTTTCCTTCCTGCGTACGAGAATCGCCGAAGTCTACATGAACGGGTAGCTTCAGGGGCGTTAGCATGCCTCGACAACAACCGGGTGACAGCGCATTCATCCCGCGTTCGACGCTATATATGTTTCGCCGACCGGAGAATTCCGCTCACTGTAGAAAGAAGGTTATTCAGTATGAACTGTGCAATAATGAGGCTGTTCCGACAAAAGACTCCAATTGCCGTTAATTATTGTGAGAACGGGGGGGTTTGAAAAAGTGGGTAACGATTTAGACTACTATGGGAGAGCTTAAAGCCGTTTAGCGGGCCTCAATGTTGAAAGCCGCACTAGTAATCGGCTAGCGTGTTGTCGCTGCAGATTCAGCTAGTGCGACCCTCAACATTCACACCTTCAGCAAGGAAGGTGTAGAACAGCGAATCAATCCGTATGTGTAGTTAGTGATGGCCCCGGATGGTAGCGAGTCAGTTTCACTGAAGTGAGCCGCTTTGCCCATCTCTGATTTTTGATAAAGCTTAACGGGGTGCCTGTTACTAAGGTATACCACAAGATAAGTAAACTTAGCGAATTCGGCCCTCCCATGTTGACACACTGTGTTAGAACATTTCTATGCAATCGTTAAACCCCACCAATCCTTAATGTTCCATTATTCATAGCAAAATTATCCGCCTTTTTACCTTTCACAAGGAACCTTTGTTTCACCATTTGTAGACCTTCATGGTATTGGCGCGTAATAGCTATTTCCTTCGTTTAGCCTGTATAGTGATCATTTGCTGTGACGCACCCAATGACAACAGGCTGAAAATGAAGAACTGGGCTGCGAAATCCTACAAACGTACTGCACATGACACAGAGCTCGAGCTGAATCGCTGAAATCGACCCGCCGCGGTGGTCTAGTGGCTAAGGCACTCGGCTGCTGACCCGCAGGTCGCGGGATCGAATCCCGGCTTCGGCGGCTGTGTTTCCGATGGAGGCGGAAATGTCGTAGGCCCGTGTGCTCAGATTTGGGTGCACGTTAAAGAACCCCAGGTGGTCGAAATTTCCGGAGCCCTCCACTACGACGTCTCTCATAATCATATGCTGGTTTTGGCACGTTGAACCCCACAAATCAATCAATCACTTAAATCGTAATAAGTGTCTTTGTTCTTTTCTTCTTTTGTAAGAAAATGCGGCCAGTTTGCACTGACACGCGCAAAGTTTGGAGCATCGATGAACGGGTCCGTCGCTGTTCACACTTCCCGTTTCCGACACGTCCAGTTTTGTGCAGCGCGGCCGCTTCTTCCTGCAGAGTATACACAGCCGGGCTATGCAATGTATACAGGGGAGGTTGCGCGCAATGTCTCAGTTGGAGGGCGTCGCTTAGGCATTACGCATGCCCGTCTTGACCAGTGGGTGTTACATCAGGCCAGGTGACGAAATGCTTTATATTTCTTTATATTCTTTTTTTTTCTATCACAATTTCTCTCTTTGTTTCATTGATTTTCTCCCTTTATATTGTTCCTGCATTTATTTTTTTTTTCATTTTTATCTCTCTCATTCCTTCACTGCTATGCTTTACTCTCTCCCCTACTCCTCATCATGTAATTTCTCCTCACGCTCACTTCTCTTTCTCACCCCTTTGCTGCATTATATTGAACTATGGACTGCTAGCGTGCCTGGTTTACCGAGAAGTTAGGACGCTCGCCTTTGGATCGATAATGCGCTGGTTAGAAACATTGTTCCGGCATTAATCTTTCTCTTTCTCTTTCTTTATACATTTCTTTCCTTGTCTCCATTTCTCGCTTTCTTTCTCGCTCTACTCGTTATTTCCCCCATCAAGGTTATTACTGCCCATGCGCCGTGGTGGTGAGCATAGATAGAATTGCATAAATTCTGTGGAACAAACCTGTTCATAGCGGTGATAACCTTCGGGCACGGTCACATGTCTTTCACCGAGCTGGGGCGCCATCGCTGTTGAAATAATAAAAAAACGAAAATACGTGCATAAACTTTTTCGGTGTCAGAAACAGGGCTGATATGCATGAGCTGAGGTTCGCAGAAACGTAAGCGTCGTCTATTGATATCTGCACGAACGAAATTAAAAAATTGGCAGCAAATCCATGGAGTGAATGATGTAGAGTGGGGCGAAGCATTTGTCCGTCCATTCGTTCTTGCTTCCATCCGTCCATGCGTCCGTCTGTGTGACCCTACATGCGTCCATCCGCCCGTCCGTGCGTGTGTCTGTTTGCGCGTCCGTCCCTGCGTTCGTCCATGCATCCGCCCCTGCGTCCGTTCATGCATTCATCCATGCATCTGTCTGTGTGTCCGTTCGTCCATCTATTCAACGCTCCAAGTATACCACCATCTCGCATCTTTTCATCATATATTCCCTATGTATAAGAACCGCCATTCAGCAGACATTCCAAGGACTAAACGGGAGGTGGCACACGCACACTTTCTTGCGGTTTGCGCTTCGGGCCTACTTCCCAGCTTTAACCACCACGAGTTCAAAGTACATACTAGTTCACTGTATTCATGGCACT